AGCAGCGCCTTATTTTAAAACGTGTTGCTGGTAAAATCCTGTGTATAAGCTTTTCCCAAGTAGTGGTCGTAAAGATAGATCAATGTTGCCACATTGATGCCAGCACTCGAGGGTGCTGCTTGGTTGTTGGGAAGGCGAAGAATACTGTGGAGCCATCAACCATGGTCAGTGGAAGTGTCACCAAATTGGAGATCGCATGGCAGTTGTCTCCTAGCAAGGTCATGGGTGATGAGAAGGAAACACATGTCTGGGTGACATCCACCACCGCTACCGCCTCCATTAGGGCTCGCCGGCCATGTTGTGATAGAGGAGCGAAAGGGAAAGTGACAATTTATGTTGCCATTGTTACGACGGACAGGAAATCGATCACAGGTGATTGATTCATTGGCAAGAAGGCCCATTTAAACAACGGATCTCAGATTTTGTTACGAGAGTAGCGGCCCATCCGGTGTAGCGCGATCTCCACATCAATGAAAGCCAGGCGGGACTAAATCCTTAAATGAAGATCCAACGGTCAAGCCAGGCAGGACTAAATCCTTAAATGAAGATCCAACAGTCAAGAACACCCACAAGTCCAGATCCGACGGTAAAATATGTTGATGGCCTGGGACGGCTCTATTTAGTACGCAATTTAAATGTCTATAGATGGCGCTAGTGGAGGTGATGTGAGACCAGCTAGTGGGTTCTCCCCGTTACACTTAGTGGTTGGTATGATGAGAGAAAGGATACACCAAACGTGCTCGCCTCACCTGGCCGGGCCGAAGGGCGTGCAACATGCACGTGAATGATCCATAGAAATACGGCATGTGGCCCTCCAGGAGTGCAACTTCCTTTTGCTGTTCTTATTTTTGATTTCCTGGCGGACAAGCGGACATTTTTCTTGACTGTTAAATTCGAAACCATGTGGGTTCAGATGGTTGTGGCGACGTGAAAGTGCATGGGCTCTTCTATATATAAGACTTGCCAGCCACCGTCAAAGACTCACATAAAGAAGTTAGGGTTTCGGGTTGTCTCGCTCGCGCATTCTGCCACCATCATAGTGCACTCCATCCTAACATCGGCGTGCACTGACGAGCAGGTCTTCGGAATTTCTCGTCCTTGATACCGCACGAGGAAAAATATAAGAATTAACTTTTTGAGAAGCGCTACACATGGCTGCCCAATTTCGTCACCACGAACAGGACCGTGTTCCTTGCAAGTCAGGCTAGTCTCCAACACCGCCCGGTCGATTGGTCTTCCCAACATTGTAGTTAACAAATCCTGTTTATGCACGAACCATGAGTAGTGCTACTATGCTAGAGCCATGTATGGTAGTAATTGTTTGTCATTATTTATTTATTTAGTTTAATTAGGGCATGACCAATGCATAGCCTTATGGTGATGCCGCGTGCGCCACGTAGGATCGGATGTCATAAAAAGTAGGTTCGGATATGGAAATTGGGATCTCTGCAAGAGGCGGGTGCTTGATAAGGAAAAAATATGGTCCGATGTGAAAAGCAGAAAAAGTTGAAGCAATATGAGCAAAGGATTAACGATCCACTTCGCAAGAAAGCAATATGAGAAGCAATTTGATTCTTCTTCCGCGAGAAGCAATTTGATGGACAATTATAATCCTAAGATCTAGCTAGGTGGTGTCAAATCTTCAGAGCTATCAACTAGCATACTAAATCAACTAAATTAAAATGTTCTATAAATCAACTAAATCAAGTTGCCTACTAAATTAACTAAATCAACTTGCCTGCTAAATCAAGTAAATCAAAATGTTCTATAAATCAACTAGCCTATTAAATCAACTTGCCTACTAAATCAACTAAATCAAAATGTTCTGTAAATCAACTAAATCAACTAGCCTACTAAATCATATGAACTAAATCAAAATGTTGCATATGAACTAGCCTACTAAATCAACTAAAGCAGGGGGAGGGTTGTGGATGGAGGAGGGAGGAGGGAGAAGGAGGGGCGACTGGAGGAGGAAGGAGAGAGTAGGACGGATGAGGAAGGGCGGAGCGAGGAGGGGCCGGCTGGCGGCGAGTCGAGGGAGGATGGAGGAGGAGGGCAGTACCAAGTCCAGCGAGGACGAGGAGGTGACGGCGGCACAGAGGGAGGAGGAGTAGGCGACGGCGGCTGGCGGGGGCGCCGGCGGCCGGCGGGAAGGACCGGCGCGCGGGGTTGAAGGCGAGATCGAGTGAGTGTGAGTGTGAGTGGATCGAATAGAGGAGAGCATGGGTGGTGGGAGATAGCTAGTTTTAGCAATAGCACACTATAGGTAAAGGTGCTACTTCTAAACTACCTAGCAGTAGCGCACTTCTAATTAACGCGCTGCTGCTAGAACTAGCTTCGCGGCGGGGTCGTGGGAATTATAGCAGTAGTGCAGCTTAAACAAGGCGCGCTACTACTACTTTTATTTCAGCAGCAAGTTCTGTTGGAGCGCGCTACTGCTAGATTGCAGCAGCGCCTTATTTTAAAACGCGTTGCTGGTAAAATCCTGTGTATAAGCTTTTCCCAGGTAGTGGTCGTAAAGATAGATCAATGTTGCCACATTGATGCCAGCACTAGAGGGTGCTGCTTGGTTGTTGGGAAGGCGAAGAATACTGTGGAGCCATCAACCATGGTCAGTGGAAGTGTCACCAAATTGGAGATCGCATGGCAGTTGTCTCCTAGCAAGGTCATGGGTGATGAGAAGGAAACACATGTCTGGGTGACATCCACCACCGCTACCGCCTCCATTAGGGCTCGCCGGCCATGTTGTGATAGAGGAGCGAAAGGGAAAGTGACAATTTATGTTGCCATTGTTACGACGGACAGGAAATCGATCACAGGCGATTGATTCATTGGCAAGAAGGCCCATTTAAACAACGGATCTCAGATTTTGTTACGGGAGTAGCGGCCCATCCGGTGTAGCGCGATCTCCACATCAATGAAAGCCAGGCGGGACTAAATCCTTAAATGAAGATCCAACGGTCAAGCCAGGCAGGACTAAATCCTTAAATGAAGATCCAACAGTCAAAAACACCCACAGGTCCAGATCCGACGGTAAAATATGTTGATGGCCTGGGACGGCTCTATTTAGTACGCAATTTAAATGTCTATAGATGGCGCTAGTGGAGGTGATGTGAGACCAGCATATATAGTGGGTTCTCCCCGTTACACTTAGTGGTTGGTATGATGAGAGAAAGGACACACCAAACGTGCTCGCCTCACCTGGCCGGGCCTAAGGGCGTGCAACATGCATGTGAATGATCCATAGAAATACGATACATGGCATTGCAGGAGCACAACTTCCTTTTGCCGTTCTTATTTTTGATTTCTTGGTGGACAAGCGAACATTTTTCTTGACTGTTAAATTTGAAACCATGTGGGTTCAGATGGTTGTGGCGACGTGAAAGCGCGTGGGCTCTTCTATATATAAGACTTGCCGACCACTGTCAAAGACTCACATAAATAAGTTAGGGTTTCGGGTTGTCTCGCTTGCGCATTGCGCCACCATCATAGTGCACTCCACCCTAACATCGGCGTGCACCGACGAGGAATTCTTCGGAATTTCTCGTGCTTGATACCGCACGAGGAAAAAAATATAAGAATTAACTTTTTGAGAAGCGCTACACGCGGCTGCCCAAATTCGTCACCACGAACAGGACCGTGTTCCTTGCAAGTCAGGCGGGTCTCCAACGTCGCCTGGTCGATTGGTCTTCCCAGCATTGTAGTTAACAAATTTTTTTTATGCACGAACCATGAGTAGTGCTACTATGCTAGAGCCATGTATGGTAGTAATTGTTTGTCATTATTTATTTATTTATTTATTTATTTAGTGTAATTAGGGCATGGCCAATGAGGGTAAAAAAACCAGCATGTTGTTGAGGGTAAAAAAAGGGCATGGCAAATGCATAGCCTTATGGTGATGCCGCGTGCGCCATGTAGGATCGGATGTCATGAAAAGTAGATTCAGATATGAAAAGCGGGATCTCTGCAAGAGACGGGTGCTTGAGAAGGAAAAAAATTGCGGTCCGATGTGAAAAGCAGAAAAAGTTGAAGTGAAGAGCGGCGGTGCATATGTAATAAAGTTTCTGTTTTCTAGTATTTCTTGATGAGACCCAGTAATAGTAGCTTGTGTTGGCAGAAAAAAGAAAAATCAATGTCAAACAATTTTTTTTCTGTTTTCTAGTTTTTCTTGATAAGATCCAGTAATAGTAGCTTGTGTTGGCAGAAATAAAAAATGAATGTAGTCACTTGAAACAAATTTTTTTCACTGGGCGTCCTGTATGTCATCATTGTACATGGCATTAACCTCTCTGTGATACTTAGTGCTGACACGTGGGCCTCCGGTTCAGTCCAAGGGAGGTATCCATACTTGTGTAGTGGATATGGATGCCAGGCTGGAGGAGAAGCAGGGGGGAGGTGACACGTGCGGCCCATGTCAGCAGGGCAGCGTATCCCGTCACATCATCATCATGCAGACATGGATATGACGCAGAGGAGAAGGAGTGTGATGTGGGCCCCACGATCCACTCCACTCCACTCCATTCAGTCTCTCTTGTCTCTGAGTCTGAGTCAGTCCTTGTTCCCACCACCACCACCCCTACTTTCCTCTTTCTCCCACCACCATTCTCCTCCTCCTCCGACTTGAGCAATCACCATCACAATCAACCGATCGATTCAGCAGCGAGGCGAGGCGAGGCGAGGTAGGTAATCAATCATCCGCTCCCTTGTAGCGAGCAACTAATCTCGATTCTCTTCTCTCCCATCATTCCTCCCCCTTCCCTAGTAGTGTTCTTTCTTTCTTTCTTTCTTTCTGGATGGATGGATGGATGGATGGATGGATTAACAAAGAGATTATCTTATCTTCTTCCTTGATTGGCTTTTGTTTGTATGACCACACCACAAAAAAAAGTGTCAATCAACAATGAATTACTATTAGGATCCATGATCGGTACCAAGCAAAAAGCAGAGCATCTATCGCCTCTGGATTCTTCTTGCAGTTGCAGCTTGTGATTTGCTTGCGGATGTCACCGATTATTCTAATGTATCCATCCATCTTCTCTTTGCATTTCCAGTTTGTCCACGCCCGGCCGGAATCCATGGGGTCAAGGAGGGGAAGGCCGCAGCAGCACTATCCTCCTCCTCCTCCTCCTGCCGCCGCCGCCGAGGGCCCGCGGCCCGGACGCCCATTCCCTCAGCCGCAAGGAGGACGCGGCGCCCCGTCGCCGCAGCCTAGAGACGATGCGGCCGCAGGCACAGGCAGGGGCCGTGCTGCCCGTGGCGCCGGCAGGGGCGCCGCGCGCGGGGCCGGCCCCTCCTCCGCTCCCGCCACATGGCCGTTGGGCCGCCTGGCTCCCGACCTGCGCCAAGCAATGGAAGAACCTTCGCCGCCGGCGCCGGCAGGCCCTTCAGAGCCGCGGCCACCTCAAACGGCCCAGCCAGTGCCCGTGCCCGCCACGGCCGAGGCCCCGATCCCGGCGTCGAGCAAGGCGATCCGGTTTCCGGTGCGGCCGGGCAAGGGCAGCGCCGGCACCAGGTGCCTGGTCAAGGCCAACCATTTCATCGCGCACCTCCCCGACAAGGACCTCCACCACTACGACGTGCGTCTGCTGCTCTTCATTTTCTTTATTTTTTTCGTTACTGCCTTGCTGATCTGAATTTGAGCAAGCAGGTATCGATCACTCCGGAGGTCACCTCGCGGGTCGTCAACCGGGCGGTGATCAACGAGCTGGTGAACCTGCACAGGGCCGCCTACCTCGGCGGGAGGCTACCGGCGTACGACGGCAGGAAGAGCCTCTACACGGCAGGCCCGTTGCCGTTCGCTTCCAAGGAGTTTCAGATCACTCTGCTCGACGACGACAATGGCTCCGGCTCTGCCTCCCAGAGGTCATCCATTTCACAGTCAATATTTATTTTGGTCAGTTCTGCATATGTGCTCAGTGTTTCTGAACTTGACTTTCGTCTTCCATTTGATGCAGGCGGCAGAGGAATTTCAAGGTGGTGATTAAGTTCGCCGCGCGCGCCGACCTTCACCGCCTCGGGATGTTTCTGGCCGGGAGGCACGCGGAGGCTCCTCAGGAGGCGTTGCAGGTTCTTGACATTGTGCTGCGGGAGCTGCCCTCTGCAAGGTAGCACTGACGTGGCAGCACTAGCTAGTTATATTCAACTCGACAACAGATATTTAAGAAATGATGAAGGAAGATAATTTTTGTAAATTGGATTGTCACAGATATGCGCCATTTGGACGCTCGTTCTTTTCGCCCGACCTGGGCAGAAGGCAGCCCCTCGGCGACGGATTAGAGAGCTGGCGCGGGTTTTACCAGAGCATCCGGCCTACTCAGATGGGCCTGTCACTCAATATTGGTAAAAGGATCCCACCTCTCAAACCTTCATATCGTATCATGTTCTACATGATTTTATTACTTTGGTTTTATTATCTGTTCCATTCGAGAGAAAATGTGTTTATTTATTTTCCCTTTCATGCTTTTGCAGATATGTCAGCGACAGCTTTCATCGAGCCATTGCCTGTGATAGATTATGCCGCACAGCTCCTGCGTTCCGACATCCATTCGAGGCCCCTCTCAGACGCCGAACGTGTTAAGGTCTTCTTACTAAACTAAATTCCGTATTAAATGTGGGTTGCTTGACTGAAATATGCTCAATGCCTACTGCTCGAAAACTTATTTCTGTGCTCTTGTTGTATGTGTATATACCCATAGATCAAGAAGGCACTGAGAGGAGTAAAGGTGGAAGTTACTCATCGTGGCAACATGCGAAGGAAGTACAGGATATCTGGTCTGACAACTCAGGCAACTCGAGAGCTGACGTATGCAAGTTTGTTATGATCTTTTCAGAAAACATTTACCAGATGAACCCTACTTGCTGTACTCTCTGAAAATGCTCTGTTTTTCTTCATGCCGCAGTTTTCCTGTTGACGAAGGGGGCACAGTAAAGTCGGTCGTACAATACTTTCAGGAGATATACGGCTTTGCCATCCAGCACACGTACCTGCCTTGCCTCCAAGTTGGCAATCAGCAGCGTCCAAATTACTTGCCTATGGAGGTAAGCCAAGTGCCCAAACCAATTAAATGTTTGCACCAAATGTTCAAACCATTTTCATTTGGATATGTTTCTGACTTCTGACCGGAGTTGAGCTTGTTCAGGTCTGCAAAATAGTGGAGGGACAGAGGTACTCCAAGAGACTAAATCAGAATCAGATAAGAGCTCTCTTGGATGAGACATGTCAGTACCCGCGTGATCGGGAGCGTGATATAACCCAGGCATGAAATTTCTTGCTTTTCATGTCTGATGTGTTTCTACGTACAGTTATTTGTGCAACTTCAGCATAACTGTTGCCTCTCTCTTTTTGTTTCTTGGAAACACAGATGGTCAAACACAATGCTTATCAGGAGGATCCTTATGCGAAAGAGTTCGGCATTAAGATCAGCGATCGTCTGGCATCAGTAGATGCACGGATTTTGCCGGCCCCACGGGTAGGCCGTCCCACTTATTGTGAATTTTACTCGCTATTTTGCCGCCGCACCCTTGGTCATCTCCCGGCAGTGCAGTTGCGCTAAGCGAATGGGGCATCCTTCCTTTGGCTCATTGGCTGTACAGAAAGTGATGCTTTATGCCACCTTTTCTCTTGATGCAGCTTAAGTACAACGAGACTGGTAGAGAAAAGGATTGTTTACCTAGAGTTGGTCAGTGGAATATGATGAACAAGGTAATCACATAAATATTCTTCTGTTCACAAAGTTCACTCATATTTTGTTTCGGGAATAAAGGCTATCTTTTTATTTATTTATTTGCTGACTCTTAACTCTAAAGTAGCCTCATCTCTGAGAGATGGAAATAACCGAAAGGGAGGGAACCAACTGAAGACTGAAACAAATAACTTGCTAGTTAGACCTTGTGCCCAACCAACAACTAGCAAAGATTGAATAAACAACTCTTAGCCAAGTTGTTTGAAAGCAACTTGCTTCAGAAACACTGAAGCAGTACTGTGCATGTCAACAGCTCCTATGAACCATGGCCTTTGCGCCCTGCATTTTTTTATGTTTGCAAGCTTCGTGATACGCAGCTTTCCAGCTAGAAAGTTTGACCTCAGCAGCTCCTGGTTTTGATCTACCTGTATCTTACTTCTGCTCCATCTTAGCCTTACAGAACAGTATTGCATGTATGCCTATCTGTTGAATTGCACAATACAACACACATAAGTATTGAAAAGTATTGTTCTATAACTGACGGTTATTTCTGTTTGAAGTTTACGTGCAACATCATTCAGTTGACTTCTGATACTTTTTTCCTGAAAGTTGACTGGATTTCAACACTGACCAAGTTCCATTAACTAGATGTAATTTTTTTATTCTCCATATAAATCTCTAATGTCCCTTGTCATTTTTCGTGACCAGAAAATGGTAAATGGTGGCAAAGTCAGAAGCTGGATGTGCGTCAATTTTGCCCGTAACGTGCCAGACAAGCTTGCTCGTGATTTCTGCCATCAACTTGCTCAGATGTGCCAAGACTCGGGAATGGCAAGTATTCTTGGCATGCTTCCTGCAAAATTAATGTGCTTATCAGCATGAAGGAATCACACCAAGATCCATAGATATAAAAGCATCAACATGAATCGTAGGCTTTGTACTCCAGTCTTCTTCATCTAGTCTTATGCAACAGTAACAGTGCCATGCATCATCATGATAGGACTTCGCTCTGGAGTCTGTTCTTCCACCCATGAGTGCACGCCCGGATCAAGTGGAGCGAGCTCTCAAAGCTCGGTACCATGAGGCAATGAACATTCTTGGGCCCCAGCGCCGGGAGCTTGATCTGCTTATTGGGATCCTTCCTGACAACAACGGCTCGCTTTATGGTACCTGAGAAATGCAGCCTTCATAAGTTTACTGTGCACATTATGTTCATTGTTACAATTACTTGTCTCTTTTATCTGAGTCTAGGTGATCTGAAGCGCGTGTGCGAAATCGATCTCGGAATAGTTTCGCAATGCTGTTGTACGAAGCAGGTGTTCAAATTGAACAAGCAAATTTACGCAAATATTGCACTGAAGATAAACGTCAAGGTTAGTTAGTGTGCCCTCATGTTATTTTTCTTTACAATCATACATTTTTGTTCCATGTTCCTTGACCTGTTTTCGCTTATTCTGTAAGGTGGGGGGCAGGAACACTGTGCTGGTGGATGCATTGTCGCGGCGTATTCCTCTTGTCACCGACAGACCTACAATCATATTTGGTGCTGATGTGACCCATCCTCATCCTGGCGAGGACAGCAGTCCCTCGATCGCTGCTGTAAGTTGGAAAATATTACTAGTACCTGACTACCTGTTCTTGAGCCTTGACTATTTTTTTGGCAAGAGATTTTAGTTAGGTACTCTGCTGATGAGTCACTGTATGCTGTCTTGTAGGTTGTAGCCTCCCAAGATTGGCCCGAGGTTACGAGGTACGCGGGGTTAGTTTCTGCTCAGGCGCACCGGCAAGAGCTCATAGAGGATTTGTACAAGGTCCGGCAAGATCCACAGAAAGGACCAGTCAGTAGTGGCATGATTAGGTACACTGCTCATTTTTTTTAAATAGCTATTCCTTGTGAACATCACAAACAATTCATTACAATACAAAAATGCAGGGAGCTACTTATATCCTTTAAGAAATCAACCGGTGAGAAGCCCCAGCGGATAATATTCTACAGGTTTGTGCATGCCCAATCAGAGAACACCAGCTCATGTGCTGTCTGCTTTCACTGATGCCCTGTCTTATATACCTTTATAAGGGATGGCGTTAGCGAGGGCCAGTTTTACCAAGTTCTGCTGTTTGAACTCAATGCGATCCGAAAAGTAAGTACCTACTTTATCCATCCAGTTCTTTATTTATTCATATCCAGATGTTTCCATTAAATTCTGATCTCATTGTGTGTGTGTGTGTGTGTGTGACTCAGGCCTGTGCTTCCCTGGAGGCAAACTACCAGCCACAGGTGACTTTCATCGTGGTTCAGAAACGCCACCACACGAGACTATTTGCGCACAATCACAATGATAAGAACTCGATGGACAGGAGTGGAAACATACTCCCAGGTACGTAAATTTTACACACAACTCATACCACACATTGCTACTATGGTTTCACCAATGTACTCTGCTGCTGCTCACTGGTCTGAAATGGGCTTCCTTCCCAAATGTTGAAGGTACCGTTGTGGACACGAAGATCTGTCATCCGACTGAGTTTGACTTCTACTTGTGCAGCCATGCTGGCATCAAGGTAAACAACCAGACAGAATTTGCTTACATCTGGTTTTCTGATCTACGGGTCCAACAAACAATCTATATAATGTAATATTCTATTGTCTCTAGGGCACCAGCCGTCCCGCTCATTATCACGTCTTGTGGGACGAAAACAACTTCACAGCTGATGGGTTGCAGACTCTCACCAACAACCTCTGCTACACGTAAGCCGCCCTCTCCTTCAGTAATTTTTTTTATACTGAAAATTCATTTCTAACTTGTGTCACTTCTGCAGCTACGCGAGGTGCACTCGCTCGGTGTCGATTGGTAAGTTACCTTCTTCCAGGGATCACTGTCACTGTCAAAGTTGTACTGCCTTGTTTCGGTGAAAAACATTTCTACTGCTTTGTCTCCTTACTGAAGCCGCCATCTTTCCTGAAATGTTCCATTGCAGTTCCACCTGCATACTATGCTCATCTGGCCGCCTTCCGTGCCCGTTTCTACATGGAGCCAGAGAGCTCCGACAGCGGCTCTATGGCAAGTGGGCCCGGTGGGCGTGGACCGCAGTCCGGCTCGTCGGCGTCACGTGGTACTCGGGCCCCCGGCGGTGCAGCTGTCAAGCCCCTTCCAGCCCTGAAGGACAATGTGAAGAACGTCATGTTCTACTGCTGAAGCCCGCCAAGGCCGAGCTTGAAATGCTCCTTAAGTCGGCGTGTCACCTCTTGTCACTGTAATTATGTGAAGAAAGTAGTAATAATCCGCAGCGGTCGATTGTGGTGGTGAGCCGGAGGTAGCTTATGGACAGGAGATCGCCGGGGAGGCTGGACCACCGCTCCTCGCCGCGTGCAGGCTGTGGCGCTCGTCGACGTCATCTTTGCGTTGATCTTGTGATGAGTCTACAAATAAGCGTTGGCCGGTCGATGATAGGGTAGGGGAACGAGTTTTATGGATGAGGTGATATACAAGTAGTATGTACGTACGTATGGGGTTGGAACAAAAACACGTAGGAGTATTTCCATACCTAATAACCGATCACGTACGTATCTCTTCTAAAATTTCCATACCTAACCGATCACGAACGTACATATATACTCTAGTACCATATATATTTTTTTTTTCGAAAAGGTCTAGTACCATATATATATATAGGCGTTGGGTTCGTGGGTTGCAAGGAGGGACACGGCGGGTTAATTAATGGAGCAGCAGGACCTTGAGGTGGCAAACAACAGTAGACCCGCCATAGAAATGTCAGCTGGGGTCAGTTTATTTGATTTTTAAACTGACGGTTAGATTGTTGCATTGTGTATTTGTGCCGATAGTATTTAGCAAGAAATTTGTCATTGTGTTTCAGTTTTTATCATATATGACCTATAAAATATTAGTGTTTTCTATTGCATGACGTTCAGCAAAATGTGTGATACTTGCGGATTTTGATAGACCAAAGTGAAGTACTTTACCTTGCGTTGTCACGAGGCTTCCACAAATTCCTGGATCCCCCATTGTGAGTACCTTACCTTACCCTGGCTTCTATGCACTGAAACTACGACTAACTAACAAAAAGCAAAAAGAAACCGAGAAAACGGTTCCGTGTGCTAAAACCCAAAAGCCCCAACCGTGTCAGGACTTTGGAGAGAACAGTCGTATTTTAGATGCTGAGAAGCGTTATAAAATAAATATTAACCAGTAGGTTCATAACATAACATGATACGTAGACCCTAGGTCTCAATTTCTCACTAGTAATATAATCAAAACTAGTCTCCAAATTCGAAATGTTATTTCGTCCTCTCAACCTGCATAAACTGTCCCTCAACCATACACATACTTGCTGAAAAAAGAACATTGTCTGCTGGGAAGGTTCGTGGACTCATGGGCGGGCTACTTCCGTGCCGTTGCGCGGACGGCGCGGATAGTTTTGAAAATCCACCACTTCTATCATGTTCAGGCACCAGCAACTCCCTGGGTCCGACGCTTTATATGCATACTCAGATTTAAACCCGGATCGTGTAACGCTTTGAATCCTCGCACACCTCGTGAGCTGACTTGTCTGGATGCTGTTGGTGTAGCTGGAGAGAAGCCTAAGGATGGTGAAGGGAGGAATTGTGGGAGGCAACGTGCAGGTGTTGGGGTTCAAGGAATGTCTGGCTTGAGAAACCCTCTCTTCTTTCTCGCCCTCGAGGTCGTACTTGTAGATGTCACATGTCGGAAATGTCGACTTCACATAGTATATGCAATTGGCATCGATGTATGGGAACTTGTGTGCATCGACAGACATGTACCTGCCCCGACCGAGAAAGAATGCACGGCTGCCGATGCTCTCAACAGGTTCAAGCACAATTCTGTCGGTGTTGATCCTGAAGACCTTGAAGCGATGCTGTTCCTTAAGCACCAGAAATAATTCTCCAGCAGATTCCAGTATGCCATACCGTTGAAACAAATCATAGTCCGTGATTTTAGACATCTCAATGGCGTACAAAAGTGCCTGATGAAAATCAAAGTCGCGTTTGGGCAACCTCACAACATCGAAGATCTTTTCAGCCACAGCAACCGGAAGCGGCGCCAGCGGATTACCGTCTTTGCCGATACAACCTAGGACGGCCAGCCGCTGCAGGAGATAACCACAGTCCTCTTCTTCATACACTGTGAAACCTTCGCTGTTGGGATCAGCAGTGTACAGATTGCAATATCCATCCGGCTGGCCTCTATCCGAGTCCCAGATCAAGCGGAGGCTGGGCGAAGAACGACACAAGAAGGCGGCAGAAGAAACCTTCATGTTGTAGGGCACGGCCGCAGTGAAACGGATCATGTTGCCGGTGAAAGGGTTGAGTACGCGTGCAGCGTGAGGATGCTCCCTGTCCGCGAGGACGAACAAGGCGCCGTTGGTGGTGACGGCGACAACATAGTACTTGCGGAGCACAGGCAGGTCCTTGTGGAGGACGCGGCCGCTGGCGGTGTTCACCATGAAGCATGAGTTGGGCTCGAAGGCCTTGTCGATGATGATCCAGTTGCGAGGACAGAAGCGGGGGTCGGAGGAGTTGGAGGGGTCGTCGGTGGCGGAGCGCCAGCTGCGGCAGACGGCGCGGAAGTCCATGTAGCAGTCAAGGTCGTTGGTGTCGAGGAGGCACTCGGCGATGCGGCGGACGAGATCGGATGGGAGCGACGAGCAGTCCACCATGGCCTACTTGCTAGATCGGAAGTTTTACAGCTGGATTTCTGTTGTTTCCACCTCGTAGCGATGGAAAGACCGTGGGTAGGTGAAGAGGTTAAGTAGATGTTGTTGGAATTATCCGGCTCGGACTAGAGTCAGACACCGTATAGGATTCTGATTAGATCGATCATCAATGGGGCCAGCGACTTGTTCAAGCAAGCTAGCTACCCACCGTAGAAACGATCCAGCAGCCTGCTAGTCTGCTTGATGCATGTATACGTGCACCTAGTGTACGTCTACGACTCCAACCGGTCACGCGGCAAGCTCGAAAAGTACTGGAACTAGCTGTTTTTTTCGAAAAGCGGACTCCCTGCCTCTGCATCAGAAGGATGCATACAACCACATTAATAGATAAATAAATAGGTTCAACAAGGTTTTATAGCCTGAAAACAAAATAATGGCAAGCTCACAAAGAGCCACAACGCCAAAAACTAAAGGCCCAAAAGCCACCACCGGCTGGCAAAAGAAAGATAGGTAAATTAATCACCTATCCTATTACATGACCGCCATCAAACCAGTTGAAGATATCCCGCGCTACCATCTCCCACCAGACAGATCCGGTAACCAAACGCTCCCTGGCCTCCGCCGGAGTGAGTAACGACCACATACGGATTAGCGCAGTAGCTCGGAATAAAACCTGCAAAAAATGAATATTTGTTGTTCTGTTAAAAGCCAAATCATTTCTGCAGTTCCAAATTGCCCACAACAAAGCACATACTCCTACGCGAATGTGTCTAGCTGTTTCGGACTCTATCCCAACAAGCCACGTTCCAAATAACGTATTGACCGAATTCGGAGGAGTCATGTTAAAGGCAATATGCACCGTGTGGCACAACACTCTCGCCAACGGGAAGTCAAAGAAGACGTGCTTGATAGTTTCGTCCCGATCACAAAAAGTACACCTAGTAGATCCTGTCCAGTTACGCTTCACTAAATTATCCTTTGTTAAAATGACTTGTTTATGAACAAACCACATAAACACTTTAATTTTCAAAGGAACTTTGACTTTCCAAACCTCTTTGGAACTAGGAATAGCACTAGAGTTAATGACATCGATATACATCGACTTAACTGTGAACTCTCCAGACCTAGTAAGCTTCCAACACAACTGATCGGGCTGATGAGATAGCTGCACCTCCATCAGCCTACTCACCAAATGAAGCCATGCTTCCCACCTGTCGCCAACAAGCGCCCTCCTAAACTGAATATTAAGTGGAATAGACTGCATAATCGTTGCAACAAGAGCATCACATCGCTAAACAATACGATATAGGGACGGATACTGAAGTGCCAACGGCATTTCACCAAGCCAAGTATCCTCCCAGAAGCGAGTGGTGTTGCCATTACCGACAATAAACTTTGTTCTATTAAAGAAGGCAGCTTTGACTCTCATAAGCCCCTTCCAAAACGGCGAGTCAGTCGGTCTCACTGTCGCCTGGGACAAAGTCTTGGACTGCAGATACTTACTACGGAGAATCTGCGCCCACGTGGCCTCAGTCTCAACTGATAACTTATACAGTCACTTACTGAGAAGACATCTGTTCTTGACTTCTAGATTCTCAATACCAAGGACCCCCTGGTCCTTTGGTAGACAGATGATATCCCATTTAGCGAGTCGGTATTTTCTCTTAAGTTCATCACTCTGCCAGAAGAATCAGGATCGATAGAAGTCCAGCCTTTTCATAACACCAACTGGGACTTCGAAGAAAGATAATAGAAACATAGACATACTCGTGTGCACCGAATTAATAAGAATCAATCGGCCTCCATATGACATAAGTTTGCCCTTCCAGCAACTCAGTTTCTTCTCAAACCGATCCGCAATGCACTTTCATTCTCTGTTTGTCAGCTTACGATGGTGAATGGGTTTACCTAGGTACGTGAAAGGTAATGCCCCCAAATCGCATCCAAACAATTGCCTATAAGCCTATTGTTCCTCATTGGATCTACCAAAACAGAACAACTCGCTTTTATGAAAGTTAATCTTCAATCCGGTCAATTGTTCAAATAAGCATAACACCAGCTTCATATTTTTCGCTTTTGCCAAGTCGTGCTCCATAAAGATGATCGTATCATCAGCATACTGCAGGATGGATACACCACCATCAACTAGATGAGGCACCAATCCACCCACCTGACCGGCCTCCTTTGCCCTACCTATCAGAATTGCCAACATGTCAGCCACAATGTTGAACAGAATATGAGACATTGGATCACCTTGTCTCAGGCCCTTGTGTGTCTGGGAATAATGACCTATATAGTGTTGGAAATATGCCCTAGAGGCAATAATAAAAGCATTATTATTATATTTTCTTGTTCATGATAATTGTCTTTATTCATGCTATAATTGTGTTATCCGGAAATCGTAATACATGTGTGAATAACAGACATCAACATGTCCCTAGTGAGCCTCTAGTTGACTAGCTCGTTGATCAACAGATAGTCATGATTTCCTGACTATGGACAC